ATCATATTATTAATATTATTATTACCCGTAATTAATTAATTAAAAATCTATTTATATATTTTCAACGATTAAATCTTTCTAGACTTCCTCAGAGTCTAGACTTGACATTATTAGATGAAATAATTTGCTGGACATAATCAAGAACTTCATGAGCACATCCAAAGCTTAGTGTAACCCCACAGCCTCCGTGTCCATAGTTATGGATCACTTGCAATTGATTTGATTGTCCATCACTAATAACTTCTCGTTCAAGTCGGACCTCATGTCTACCCGGTCTCAGACCAACCCATTCGTTAACTACCTGTGCTGTCCTAATACTCGGTATAAGTTGTGAACATCCATCCATAATATCCTTACTATCAATCGGATCAACATTAGTATCCCAATTGTTTAACTGTTTAGTACCACCCAATACAACCGTATCAGTGTTTGGTATAATATAATGATTGCCAGCCATAACACAATGTTTGATCCATGGCGCCGATATCCGATAGACTTGACCACGTATTGGATGTACTGATTGATCAGCACTACATTTGCCGGCTTCAACACCCGGACAGTTGATAACAATATCATACTTTCCGATCAATTGTCGTAAGCTATCGACTCTTTGTTGGCAAACTTTTCCGCCCTATTAATAGATATAGGATATAATGATAACAATTAAATAATTAGTTAATAATATAATTAGTTAATAATATAATTAGTTAATAACATAATAATAATTAGTTAATAATAACATAATAATAATTAGTTAATAACATAATACTAATTAGTTAATAATAACATAATAATAATTAGTTAATAATATAATAATAATTAGTTAATAACATAATAATAATTAGTTAATAATTATACTTTAGATTTGAATTGTTGTAACAAATATGGCAATAGTTTACGACATTCGGCATAATATGTGGTCACATAAACACCTTTTGTCCACTGTTTTTGCGGCGAAGAAAATTGTTTTAATTCACTGGAAGTCATCGGCCGTTGACTGATCATAATGTTATCAAAATCTGAATAATTAAATACTTCCCGATCTTCTAGTAGATAATACATGGATAGTAAACCGATACCCAATTTCCCGGAATCTGATGACTGGAAATGTTGTTTCAAATAAGCCATAGTATCGTTGATCCACTTTTTGATACGTTTGCTATCAGTACTTCCCGGCAAATATGGATATATTAGTCCACCGCTACCGTCGCCGGTAGTATTCGGTGTAAACTTTTCCGATATGATTGTTATCTCGACATTAGGTATGGATTCAATCAATACTGAAGCCGAAGTACAGCCTATAATACCGGCGCCGATGACTGCAATCTTAAGTTTTTTCTCAAACATTATTATTATTAGTTAAGTTATTATTATTATTATTATTATTATTAGTTAAGTTATTATTATTATTATTGAAGTTATTATTATTATTACAATAATTTCTAAAATTATAATTATATTTTTGTTATATAAATTTGTGTTTTCTACTAAATTATTTTCAATTTTATTTATATTAATAATAAACTTGTAAATAATTGATTAGATATACAGTAATAATGCCTTTATATATTAGATTTTGGATTTTTAATGTATTTTTGATATGATTACTGTTTAATATCATCAGTGATTGTTTTATCATTGAAAAAAAATTTTAAATGTTGTGTGGACAAATTATATATAATTTTATTAATTTATCATCAATTTGGGTACTAAATAAATTTAAAATTTTAGTATCAACTTTATTATGTTGTATGTGTGAACCAAAAAAAAAACGTGGCATAATTTGCTGGGTTATGGGTACGGACAGCAATGTATGCCGTCACCGATGAACACTATAGAGACGGAAAATTTGAGCAAAATATTGACAAACTTTGCGATCAACAGAAATGGCAGTCGATTATAGGTTATCCCAAACGGGTGAACAACTATCTGCACGGAAAGGACGGTTGGTTTTACGCAATGAAAGTTATATAATTTTTTTTATAGTTAATCAATCAGTACTATAGCCGATGTGATACATACATACACACACATTCACACATACACACACATACACACACACACACACACACACACACACATATATATATATATAATGAAATAATTTTACAGTTAATTTTGATTTTAAAAATAGCATTTACAAAAAAAAATTTAGAGATTATTTCATCAAAATATATGATGTAATTATAATTTAATTAATTAATAATAATTTTTTTTTATAAGTTTAGTTTGTAAAATTTTTTTAAACTTAATATTACTTATTTATTAATTAATAAAACTAAAATATAATATACATATATATATATATATATATATATCTAATTTAATCTAATCAATATCTAATCAATATTTATATATCTATTTTTAAAGTCATAGATAATTGATTTATTAATACTATATCTGTATATCTAAATTCATATATCATATTATTAATATTATTATTACCCGTAATTAATTAATTAAAAATCTATTTATATATTTTCAACGATTAAATCTTTCTAGACTTCCTCAGAGTCTAGACTTGACATTATTAGATGAAATAATTTGTTGGACATAATCAAGAACTTCATGAGCACATCCAAAGCTTAGTGTAACCCCACAGCCTCCGTGTCCATAGTTATGGATCACTTGCAATTGATTTGATTGTCCATCACTAATAACTTCTCGTTCAAGTCGGACCTCATGTCTACCCGGTCTCAGACCAACCCATTCGTTAACTACCTGTGCTGTCCTAATACTCGGTATAAGTTGTGAACATCCATCCATAATATCCTTACTATCAATCGGATCAACATTAGTATCCCAATTGTTTAACTGTTTAGTACCACCCAATACAACACAATCGCTGTTTGGTACAATATAATGATTGCCAGCCATAACACTATGTTTGATCCATGGCGCCGATATCCGATAGACTTGACCACGTATTGGATGTACTGATTGATCAGCACTACATTTGCCGGCTTCAAGGCCCCGACAGTTGATAACAATATCATACTTTCCGATCAATTGTTGTAAGCTATCGACTCTTTGTTGGCAAACTTTTCCGCCCTATTAATAGATATCGGATATAATGATAACAATTAAATAATTAGTTAATAACATAATAATAATTAGTTAATAACATAATAATAATTAGTTAATAACATAATAATAATTAGTTAATAACATAATAATAATTAGTTAATAACATAATAATAATTAGTTAATAACATAATAATAATTAGTTAATAACATAATAATAATTAGTTAATAACATAATAATAATTAGTTAATAATATAATAATAATTTGTTAATAATTATACTTTAGATTTGAATTGTTGTAACAAATATGGCAATAGTTTACGACATTCGGCATAATATGTGGTCACATAAACACCTTTTGTCCACTTATTTTGCGATTCAGATGAAGAAGAAAATTGTTTCAATTCACTGGAAGTCATCGGCCGTTGACTGATCATAATGTCGTCAAAATCTTGATAATCAAATACTTCCTCATCTTCTAGTAGATAATACATGGATAGCAAACCGATACCAAATTTGCCGGAATCTGGTAACTGGTAATACTTGTTAAGATAAACCAATGAATTGTTGATCCATTTTCTGATACGTTGGCGATCAGTACTACCCGACAAATATGGATATATTAGTCCACCGCTACCATCGCTGGTAGTATTCGGTGTAAACTTTTCCGATATGATTGTTATGTCGACATTAGGTACGGATTCAATCAATACTGAAGCCGAAGTACAGCCTATAATACCGGCGCCGATGACTGCAATCTTAAGTTTTTTCTCAAACATTATTATTATTAGTTAAGTTATTATTATTATTATTATTATTAGTTAAGTTATTATTATTATTATTGAAGTTATTATTATTATTACAATAATTTCTAAAATTATAATTATATTTTTGTTATATAAATTTGTGTTTTCTACTAAATTATTTTCAATTTTATTTATATTAATAATAAACTTGTAAATAATTGATTAGATATACAGTAATAATGCCTTTATATATTAGATTTTGGATTTTTAAAGTATTTTTGATATGATTACTGTTTAATATCATCAGTGATTGTTTTATCATTGAAAAAAAATTTTAAATGTTGATTTTTTTGTGTGGACAAATTATATATAATTTTATTAATTTATCATCAATTTGGGTACTAAATAAATTTAAAATTTTAGTATCAACTTTATTATGTTGTATGTGTGAACCAAAAAAAAACGTGGCATAATTTGCTGGGTTATGGGTACGGACAGCAATGTATGCCGTCACCGATGAACACTATAGAGACGGAAAATTTGAGCAAAATATTGACAAACTTTGCGATCAACAGAACTGGCAGTCGATTATAGGTTATCCCAAACGAGTGGACAACTATCTGCACGGAAAGGACGGTTGGTTTTACGCAATGAAAGTTATATAATTTTTTTATAGTTAATCAATCAGTACTATAGCCGATGTGATACATACATACACACACATACACACATACACACACACACACACACACACACACACACACACACACACACACACACACACACACACACACATATATATATATATATATATATATATATTTATATAATGAAATAATTTTACAGTTAATTTTGATTTAAAAAATAGCATTTACAAAAAAAAATTAGAGATTATTTCATCAAAATATATGATGTTATTATAATTTAATTAATTAATAATAAATTTTTTTTATAAGTTTAGTTTGTAAAATTTTTTTAAACTTAATATTACTTATTTATTAATTAATAAAACTAATATATAATAGACATATATAAATATCTAATTTAATCTAATCAATATCTAATCAATATTTATATATCTATTTTTAAAGTCATAGATAATTGATTTATTAATACTATATCTGTATATCTAAATTTATATATCATATTATTAATATTATTATTACCCGTAATTAATTAATTAAAAATCTATTTATATATTTTCAACGATTAAATCTTTCTAGACTTCCTCAGAGTCTAGACTTGACATTATTAGATGAAATAATTTGTTGGACATAATCAAGAACTTCATGAGCACATCCAAAGCTTAGTGTAACCCCACAGCCTCCGTGTCCATAGTTGTGGATCACTTGCAATTGATTATTTGATTGTCCATCACTAATAACTTCACGTTCAAGTCGGACCTCGTGTCTACCCGGTCTCAGACCAACCCATTCGTTAACTACCTGTGCTGCCCTAATACTCGGTATAAGTTGCGAACATCCATCCATAATATCCTTACTATCTTTCGGATCAACCATAGTATCCCAATTGTTTAACTGTTTAGTACCACCCAATACAACACAATCGCTGTTTGGTACAATATAGTGATTGCCAGCCATAACACTATGTTTGATCCATGGCGCCGATATCCGATAGACTTGACCACGTATTGGATGTACTGATTGATCAGCACTACATTTGCCGGCTTCAAGGCCCCGACAGTTGATAACAATATCATACTTTCCGATCAATTGTTGTAAGCTATCGACTCTTTGTTGGCAAACTTTTCCGCCCTATTAATAGATAATTATTATGATATCGGGAATATAGATATCGGATATAATGATAACAATTAAATAATAATTAGTTAATAATATAATAATAATTAGTTAATAACATAATAATAATTAGTTACTAATATTATAAAAAATTAGTTAATAATTTGTTAATAATTATACTTTAGATTTGAATTGTTGTAACAAATATGGCAATAGTTTACGACATTCGGCATAATATGTGGTCACATAAACACCTTTTGTCCACTTATTTTGCGATTCAGATGATGAAGATGAAGAAAATTGTTTCAATTCACTGGAAGTCATCGGCCGTTGACTGATCATAATGTCGTCAAAATCTGGATAATCAAATACTTCCTCATCTTCTAGTAGATAATACATGGATAGCAAACCGATACCAAATTTGCCGGAATCTGGTAACTGGTAATACTTGTTAAGATAAACCAATGAATTGTTGATCCATTTTCTGATACGTTGGCGATCAGTACTACCCGACAAATATGGATATATTAGTCCACCGCTACCATCGCTGGTAGTATTCGGTGTAAACTTTTCCGATATGATGGTTATGTCGACATTAGGTATGGATTCAATCAATACTACAGCCGAAGTACAGCCTATAATACCGGCGCCGATGACTGCAATCTTTAGTTTTTTCTCAGACATTATTATTATTATTATTGAAGTTATTATTATTATTATTATTACAATAATTTACAAAAAATTATAATTAAATTTATTTTTTTTTGTATAAATTTGTTTTTTATAGTAATTATTTTTCAATTTTATTTATATTATTAATAATAAACTTAAAAAAATAATTGATTAGATATAATCAATGCCTTTATATTAAAGTAGATTTTTTTTGTGGATGTTTAATGTATTTTATGATATGATAACTGTTTAATATCCATCAATCAATCACTGATTGTTTTATCAAATTAAAAAAATAATTGATTTTATTTTGTGGACAAATTATATTTTGCTTAAAGTTTAATAATTATTTATATATAACGCTTATATATATTAGATTTTTTTGACGTTTAATGTTAACGAACTTTCCTGAAAGGAGTACGCATCTGAATTCTATATGTCCGTCCGTCCGTCCGTCCGCAAAATGGCGGGTCAAAGTACAAAATTTTTTTTACTTAATATTTAAGTCTTGTATTGGAATAAAACATCAAAAATAAGTTTTATAGAATTAGCATACAATTTTTTTAAAATTTTTGTTTAAAGAAGATAGAAAAAATGAAGTTTAAATTAATACTTTTTAAATTATGCTAAATTATTTGATTATATATAATAATTTATTTGAGTTATTCTATACTATATATTAATAAAGTTGAGTTTATTTTGACATACTAAATCATTTGATACCATACATGACTAAAGTTGAGTTTATTTTGACATACTAAATCATTTGATACCATACATGACTAAAGTTGAGTTTATATTGACATACTAAATCATTTGATACCATACATGACTAAAGTTGAGTTTATTTTGTTATACTGAATAATTTGATACCATACATGACTAAAGTTGAGTTTATTTTGTTATACTAAATAATTTGATTTTAGTTTAATTTTTAATTTGAATTATGAGTTCGTATGGAAATGCTTTCTAGCATTCTCAACTGGTTTTGATATGATTACTGTTTAATATTATCAGTGATTGTTTTATCAATTGAAAAAAAATTTAAATATTGATTTTTTTGTTGTGTGAACAAATTATATATGATTTTATTAATTTATCATCAATTTGGGTAATAAATAAACTTAAAAATTTTTAGTATCAACCAAAATTATGATAATTAATTATTTTATTTAATTTTTTCTACACTAAATTATTACTAGATCCTAATAGTTTAATTTATTTAATTAAATAAATAATAAGTATTTTATTGTTTTATTTAATTTTTTAATTGTTAGATATCTTGAAATATTATTTCATTTTCAAACTTTTCTCTTAAAGACAAATAATAGCTATATCTTCGTTCAGCTTTTTCCTTAAAAAAAACAACAAAAAATAAATGTATTATTAATATATCAATAAAATCAATATTATTACTATTATTATTATTATTGATAATATATATATATATATATTTGTAATTTTTAATACCAGAAATTCATGGACACATTTGCTATCAGTAGACGATTTCCATAAGCAAAACAATACATCCATAATAAGTGCAACTAATGTAAAAAGTTTAGACTCTTTTATCAGATGCTCTCTTGAATTATAAACAGTTTGACTGTTTGAAAACGTATTGCCAGTCAATCGATCCGCTACTTGAATATACTTATCAATAAATGGATACATTTCCTCATCACTGGGAAACCGGGGGTCACAACCAAATTTCGGGTCCCGATGTTTCCAACTGGAAAAATAACGGCCAAAATCTATACCCCGATAGTTATACGAACAAAAATCAAAATCAATAAAATACATATCAATTGATGTATCAATTGATTCTCTGATTAATATATTTCCCCGATTGAAATCACAGTGACTGAAAACTAGTATCTTAGGTGATCCCAGTACAGCATCCCTGAGCCAAATCAACTCATCACTAATGTCTACCTGACTGAGTGACAGATATTGTCCCGTTGATTGTCTAATTAGATCCCGAAACCGGTCGGTTTTTATCGAATCAAACAACGATCCATCGCGAAAATAATCATTGATCTGAATGTCCAACCATTTAGCCGATCCATCCGATGGTATCGGTGCCCGTATTTGATGAAACTGAGCCAACTTTTCGGCCAATAGACAAACCATTTCCGGATTACTATCATCTAAATGATTGTATGGCCGACTCTGTATAATTATGACCATAAATAATAATAATAATTAAATGTATTAATAAATTATACCTCAATATAATCACATATTAGTCCATTGGAAAAGATGCCGAAAACTTTAGGTCCCAAACCAGCCAACGATGCAACCAATGAACAGACTCTTGATATCAACGGATTATATAAGAAAAATTCTTCTTCAAGAGACAACTTTACCACAACTTCTTTGACAGCAACTGCTGATCCCTTGTTTGTGTTGTTGTCATTGTTTGTGCAATAAAAGATTTTATTGAAATATCCGTCACTATTGATAATAATAATAATAATTTTTTATAATAATAATAATAATAATAATTTTTTTATAATAATAATAATAATAATAATAATAATAATTTTATAATAATAATAATAATAATTTTTTTATAATAATAATAATAATAATTTTTTTATAATAATAATAATAATAATTTTTTTTATAATAATAATAATAATAATAATAATAATAATAATAATAATAATTTTATAATAATAATAATAATAATTTTTTTATAATAATACAATTTATCAAATTCTCAATTTTTTTAAATATATATATTTTGTAATCTCTAAATTATTTATATAATTATTAAATCAAATAATTTAATTAATTAATTGTTTTTAAAATTTTTATCAAATATTTATTTTATTACTCTTTTTTAATTAACAAAAATACTTACGAAAATCGTTTGACAGTAACATCAGTCCAATTGTCACTCAAATATTGATTGCAAACTTTGACGATAATATTTTTATCATCTTCACTGATATTATTAGAAAATTTTGTCATATTTTTTGTAATTTAAAAAATAATATAAATATAATTTTAAATATCAATGTATATTCAACATTAATAAGTTATAATAATAATAATAGGTATTACTGTATCAAAAACAAAATAATAATAATAACTTATATATATATATATATATGTATGATTAAAAATAATACAATTTATTATTATTATTACTTTTAAATATTTGTAAGTTTTTATATTAATACTAATGCACTTATTTTTTGTAAATTAATATATTATTATTATTATTATTATTATTATTATTATTACTGTACTATTATTATAATATTTAAGTGATAATTATAGCAGAAATTATTGATTAGATTTTTTTTGAAAAGTCAAATATTTATATATATATATTGCTATTTAATTGTGATTAGATTAGCTAATTGTTTACATTATAAACATATTTATATAAAGTACTGTAGATTATAACTAAAACCAGGGTTAAGTAAAGTGGGTAGAGGTGGGGGGGGGTAAAACCAAACGACCCCACCCCTAAATTTTTGGCTGAATTTTATAGAATTTTAATCTAAAGAATATTATTAATACAATATATACATATTATATATTATATATATGATAAAGTTTTTACTAATTTTTAGAAAATTTTGAAAAATAATGTAATTTTTTGGGAATATTTATATATTTTCAAAAAAGAATTTATATGGGAATATTAGTGAAGTTATATGGGAATATTAATAAATCTATATAGGAATATTCTGGAATTTATATTTAAATATTAGTGACTTTATATGGGAATATTCGGGAATTTATATGGGAATATTAGTAAATTTATATAGGAATATTCTTGAATTTATATGGGAATATTAGTAAATTTATATAGGAATATTCTGGAATTTATATGGGAATATTCGGGAATTTATACAGGAATATTCTGGAATTTATATGGGAATATTCGGTAATTTAAGGAATTTTTTTATAAATTTTCTCTTGATCTTAATTTTGGATAAAAGTCTATATCCCAAAACTCATCCAAGATTTTTTTGAGAATTTTGTGTTGTGCCCCCTCTAGCCCCCCCTCCCCCGAAAATTCAAAACCTTGCTTAATCCTGTACTAAAACATAAATTTTCTGAACACTGCGTTTGTCTGTAAAATTATTATTTATAATAATAATAATAATAATAATTGTTATTATTATTAGAAATAAAACATTAAATTTCTAAAAATTCTAATATATTTAGAAAAAAAATATTATTCAATAATTATAACTGCATTCAAATTATGCAATAATTCTCTGAATATTTATTTATAATTTATTTTTTATGTTAAAAAAATACTGTTAATATGATTTAAATCATTATGGCTTTAATAATAAACCAATGCTATTAAATAAAAAAATTTTTCAACATAAAAATAAACAAAAATTACTTAATAGTTTATAAGCACTCAATATAATAATTAACTAAATAAATTATATGATAAAATAATTATTACAGTATTTCAAAATTAAGCAATATTTATAACTTAATGTATTATACAAGTATTTACCATTAAACTATTAATAGATTATAGATTAATTAAATTAATGTTTTATATATATTTATAAAAAAACAAATATTTTGATCATATTTATTGACTTCAAATTTAAAAAATATTAAATAATTAATATTTATCGATAATAATTGTAGTTTTTTATTTGTTTATCATCTATTTTATATAAATAGATTATATATTATCTATGTTTAATATTTTATTTAAATACATATACAGTAAATAAATTTCCAAAAAAAAAGATTTTTAAAATAAATATAATAAGATTATATATATATAAATAAATTTGTTATATTTAAATGTCAAAAGTTTATATATTATATCATTATTATTATCATCTATTAATAGTATCACAAAAAATAAGAGTAAGTTATTGCAAAACATATATAAATTAAAAGTACAAATAAGTTACCAAAAAAAAAAATAAATAAAAACTTAACAAACGTATGGTTTAGACATAATTTTTGACAACAATTTTCAAACATCATCTTCAGGCATGAAAAACAATATAATGAAAAAAAATAAATAAATAAAATAATATTAATTTTACCCCCACCACCACCACCCCCCCAAAAAATTATTGGCTCAATATATAAAATAGATTAAAAATAATTACTTTTATTATAATTATAATTATAATTATTATTATAATAAAGTAACAAAAAAATTAATGCAATATATTATCAATCATCAAATATAGTGTTAGACTATATTAACAATTTATAGTTACAATGACCTTAAAGTTAGAAATTTTATTTATATGACAATATTTTTATAAAATAAATTATACTATAGTAACCATTTATGAAGTATTTTATCAATAATAATAATAATAATAATACAGTATTATGTATTTAATATCTATTTTTTTAAATTTAAATGTTAAGTATCAGTATTAAAGATAAAAATAATTGCAAAATACAAAATCAATTGATAATTTTTAGAAAACACTCTAAAATATTAAAATTAATTTAATAACTAAATTATTGTAATCAGTAGTTAAATATCTATGTTTATTTATTTTCATAGTTTAAATTTAATTTAATGAGTCTAATAAATAGCAAATGTTAAATAACAAAAATTAAATTAAAATTTATTGATTAACACATATTTTTTTATAATTGTTTACAATTAACTATAGTATCCAAAATAGAAATTAAATTAATTTTATAATAAATTAAATATATAGTATTTATAATGTTTAAAGTTTTTATAGTTTTTTTTAAAAATGTTATCAAAATTAAATGATAACTGTATCTACAATTTATAGCCGACTTACTAACTATCATAAAAACAAGTGATTTAATTTATCAGACAAATATATATATATATATATATGTTATTTAATAAATAAATTTTTACGTTTATGTATAGTATATTATATTATATACAGTATATATTATTGATTAATATTTTTTTTAGTGTCTTATCTTTACTAATTTTCAACGAAAAACACATTTAATGATAACAACAATAAAAAAAATATTAGTTATTTTTCAAAATGTTTTAATTAGTTAGTCAAGTAAGTTAAAAATATTAATAATAATAATAATAATAATAATAATATTTGAATTTGTCATAATTGTTATCATAATCATAACTGTGTAACTGATTAATACAGTATATATACAGTATATATAGTATATAATTTATATATCATATATAAAGTGTATGTTTATTACAGTATATAATAAACTGGTATATAATTGACTATAAAAATATATAAAAAAAATTTTAAATTGTTTTCTATTTAAATAAATTGACATCAATTGTATAACACTTATTGTATTCAATTCTCTATATTGTATTAAACAAAAGAATTTCATATATATTATTAATATTAATAATAATAGAAAATAAGTTATTATTATTATTATTAGTTATTAGTTATCATATATATTAAATATATGCTGTATATATTAGTTACATAATATTATACAATATATATATAGCAAAAGTGTCACCAAAAAAATAAAATTGTGTGTGCATTATATCAATTGTTAATTTGTGTGTTATATAATACACAGTATTGTGTATATATTTATTTAAGCTATTGAAAGACACACACACACACACACACTCATTGTTACACTTATTAATATTAATAAAAAAACTAATATTATTATATTAAATATATATTTTTTTGTTATCAAAATTGTCAACAATAGCAACGGGAAAAAAGCTGTTAAAACTCAATGTCAGCCAATAATAATAGTAACGAAAATAGTGAACTAATGGGGAGTTTGCAAGTATTGGATCAATTATATCATTGCAAAGACATCAATGAGACCAAAGAGTTTTACGCCAATTGGGCTCAAGATTATGAAGAGGTGGTTAAACTAATTTTTTTGTTTTGTTTTGTTTGTTTGTTGATATCATGATATAATTGTTAGAAATATTTTTTTTGTTAGCCGTTAACTATTATATATGTGATATTTTTGTTAGTTAGAAAAAAATATTAGTTAGCAAATAGAAAATTAAAATTTTATGTTTTTTATGTGTGTTGAATATCAGTAGCAATATATATATATATACAGATAATGTCAATTAAAAGTTTAAATTTGAGTAAACAATTAACTTTAACGCTAAGCAAGGTAACTTAGTATAAAGTTAGCTTATATTAGGTAAATTATATATAGTACCTTGCTAAAGCATTATATAATATTACTAAAATTTAAACTGTATTAAGTGGCATAAACTGTATATGAATTATAATTTTTGTTTTGCTTATTGTTTAGGACATTGAGGACATGGATTATAACGGTCCGCAAATAGTTGTCAAATGTTTTCTGGAGCTCAACTGCGATCGGGAGTCACGTATTTTGGATATCGGTGCCGGTACTGGTGTTATCGGTCAACTATTAGCCCGACACGGCTATCATAATGTCGATGGTTTGGATGCATCGCCTAAAATGTTGGAACTGGCCAAACAAAAACAATGCTACACACGGCTAATCAATTCAATAGTGGCCTCAAATGTCCGCTTACCTATAGATAGCCGATCGTATGATGTGGTCATAATGGCCGGTGTTTTCTGTCCCGGACATATCCAGGCCGACGCTTTCAATGAGATATTACGTATAACAAAATCAGGTAGTTTTTTTTAAATATATTATTTAAAAATTAAAAATTATAATCTAAATAATAATAATAATAATAATTTTTGTTTTTGGGTTGTTTGCTAACTAAACTTTTATTTTATAAATAACATTATCAAATGGTTACTACCATTACTGTGGTGACTAAATATGTATGTTATTTAAAGTTTAATTAATAACAACAACAAAAATTATTATTATTATTAAAACAGATAATAATTTAAATAATTTTTTTAAATTAAAAATTATACTCAAAATAATAATAATAATATATTGTTAGTTTTTGTTGGTTTGTTTGCTAATTAAACTTTTTTTATAAATAACATTATCAATGGTCATTACCATTATTTGGTGACTATAGATGTGGTTATTTAAAGTTTAATTAATATAAAAACAAAAATTATTATTCTTAAAACAGATAATAATTTCAATAATTTTTTTAAACTAAAAAATTATACTCAAAATAATACTAATACTAATAAATCGTTAGTTTTTTTTATTGTTGGGTTGTTTGCTAACTAAACTTTTATTTTATAAATAACATTATCAATGGTTACTACTATTACAACCTGTAATTTAGACTATAGATGTATGTTATTTAAAGTTTAATAAATAACAACAACAAAAATTATTATTATTATTACTATTATTTTCCACTAATATATATACTGTACAACAAAAATATTATTATAATAAACAGATAATAGATTTTTTTATGATTATATATAAATTTAATTAATTAATTGTTTTTTTTTTGGTTTTATGAAAAAGGCGGCACAATTTGCTGGGCTATGGGTGTGACCACAATCTATGCCGACACCGATGAACACTATAGAGACGGCAACTTTGAACGAAGTATTGTCCAATTGTGCGATAAAATGAAATGGCTATCGATATTAGGTTATCCTAAACGTGTGGACAACTATGTTCACGGAAAAGATGGTTGGTTTCATGCTATGCAAGTTATTTGATTGAAATTAATTGAAATTAATTTGCATATAATTAGCAATTAATTATTTTATTTTTATTGATTATCAAAAAAATTAATTGTTATGTTTAAGTTGTTGTAACATAATTTGTAAAAAAAAATTTGATTGTTTTAATTTTATATATAAAAATTTTTAAGTTTCAATAAAATTAATTCTATTAATTATAATTAAATTATATATAATTTAAATGCTATAATTTAATACATTATTAAAATCGTTGATAATTTTACAGTTGTTATTATACTTTAAGAGATATACAAACTTTATATAAATATTTTTACATTTAAGTAAAATATCTAAGTTTTAATTGTTTTTGTTTTATCAAAATTTTATTAATTACAAAAAAATATATAAATCAATATTAATTAAATGTATGAACAAAAAAATAGTTGCAACTATTAATTGTAATTTTTTTTGTTTAAATGTCAATTAAAAACTTAATAAATAAATTCTAATCTATTATATATATATATATATATAGAAATATAACTGTTATATAAAGCCTTTTTTGTTTAAATATAATTTATTGTCGAAATGTTAGTGTGTTTTTTATATATAATAGTAATTATTGATAACATGTTTGACAAAAATTAATTTATTGCTAAATAATTTAATAGTATTTAACTTACTTTAGTCTACTTTATATATATATTAAACCTCTAGTATTTATAATGCAATTATTGAAAGGGTAAGCAAACCAAACAAACAAAAAACAAAAAATAAAAAAAAACAAAAAAAAAACAAATTTTATTGCTGCTGCTGTCAACATCAAATTAATTATTTAGTAAATTTATTTATTTATTTATTTTTTTGGCAATAATATAAATAATTAAATAGATTTGTTGATGAAAGTTACCAAAATGAAAAACTTTACCTGATGAAATAAAAAATAAATAATTTACTCAATAAATTAAAATAAATTTCAATAAATTACCACCAAATATAAATTGCCAATAAATACCAATATATATATAATACAAATAAATTTCTATGTAAATTGAAATAAATTTTTTTATACATTTATGTGAAAAAATGTGTATTAATTAAAAATAAAATTATAATATTTTTTTGATGTTGAATATTATTTAATTATTACTATAGTATTATTAAAATTATTGTAATAGAAGACAATAAATGTATTTAAATAAAAATATATTTTTAGAAATTATTTAATTATAAAATTTATTTTTTTTTCTCTAATCAAGTCTAGTATCTATAAGTGTTTGTACTGTATGTATGCTTTTAATTATTATTTATTTAATTATTGTCTCTGATATTTATACAATTACAGTATATTTTTTTGTCAAATTAAAACTGATAAGTATTTACTAAAAAATATTTTTTTTTTAATAAAAAGTTGAATCATTGAATACTATTTAAATATATTCAATATAATGTAAGTTATATATTGTTGAATCAATAAATTGTTTTGTTTTCTATGTTTTACTGAATTAAATACTGTATATATATATATACTAAAAGTTTTTCAAATAAATAGACACAAACAATATTTAATACATTGTTTTTTTCTATCTATCTATCGATTTGTGTGTCTATTTTATATACTAAATACTGTTAGTGTATTTGTAGTACTCAAATGTGTAACATTGTTTTACATTAACATTTTGGGAGTTATAATGATTATATGTTTATCATAATATGATAGTATAGTATAGTATATAAAAGCAAACATAGAAATTAAGTTAAAAGTTATATTATTAAAACAAAAGGAAATGATGTGTCTCTAACATTAAAACACTAGTATTTATTTATTTATCTGTATATATATATTACTACTAAATATATATATATAAAATAAAGTATATATTGATTTTGATTACAATCAAACAATATATATATATATATATATATTATATGCCGTATAGTTTACTTACTAATACACTATAACTTAAATGAGATCCTTATTACTTAAACTTATTATCTAATTGTGTCTAACGGTATATATATATATATTGTTATATATACTGTATAAAAATATAATAAGTAAATTAAATAAAGTATATATATATAAAGTTTTATACTGTATATAATAAGTGTAAAAACATACTGTACTAATAATACAGTATATAAAAGTATTAACTGTATTATAGACTGGTTATAATAAGCTAACGACTATAACAGTAAAAAATCTATATATATAAATTTATATTTAATAAATTATTATCATAAAAAAACAAAAATCTATAAATATATATAATAAATATGATGACAATAACAAAACAAACAAAAATTTAGTTTACTTTTATTTTATTATAGTATACAGTATTATATATATTAGTCAAAAAAGATAAACCTATTTTGTGAATCTATGGCACTGTTAGAGTCAATAATATCTATTATATTTTGTATTTGCAAGTAGTTAATGATATATATATATATAACATTTCTGGTGACAAATATATATATATATATATATTGATTAATTGATATCAAAAAACTATGTGACTGTGAAAAAAACGAGAGCTAATTATTTGTCTGACAAAAAAACGATTAGAAATAAAAAGATTTATTATATATATATATATATATATATATATGTTATTTAGATATATATATATATCTGTGTATAGAGAAAACTAAATAACTAATAATAATACCATCAATACAATGAATAAAATATATTTAATATATTATTAGTATATATATATATATCGTATCGTATAATATAATAAATATAAATAATTTAATATAAGTGAGAAAAAAGTGAATTATTATTATTATTAATGTTATATATATTCAAAACAACACAGTATAATACAGTATTATTATTATAATAATTATTTTTATGTTAATAATGTTTTTATTTATCATGTTTTTAATTTAATGTTTTTTAAACATAGAATAGCTTATTATATATATAAATATATAATATACAAGTAATAGTAGTAGTAGTTTACTGTATATTATACAGTATATATATATATTGTACAGTAGTTTAAATACAATAGTTTGTATATTTCAAAAGTAAGTGACAGTTAAATAACAGATGAAAGATATTATAAAACACAGGAACCCATCCATCCCTTAGTCTGAATATACTGTTATATTGAGTGACAAAAGGGATACAACTTTTTCCTGGAGTAGTGTCTGTAACCAAAAAAATAAAATAAAATAAAAAAAACTTCAATGTCTTAAATCTATTTATTTATTTTTTTTTTGTGTTATATATAATCTTATATACAGTATGATATATATATATATATATATATACTATCTATAAATGTATAATATAAAAGTTATTTATACAGTATATATATATTATATATTACATTAATACATGTGTGTTAGGATGTCATAGGAAACACAGAGACAGAAAAAAATAAATAATATATAGTTTAATAGGAAGGACTACTATATCTTTGAGAAAAAAATGTGACAAATAGTGACACACAATATATATATATATTATATATATATTCACACAATTTTCGACAATTATATCGTTTTTTATTTGTTAGTTGTAAAGCAATATAACTGTACAATAAATACTTGTGTTTTTAGACATTGAAAGATAAGTTAGAAATAAAATAATAAAAACAAAAGAAAAAACTAATTTCCGCTAAAATCCATAAAATTTATTTTGATTTGTGAATAACGTGATTATAGATATATATATATATATATATGTATATAATTTTTGTATGTATTTCTTGATATATATATATATCAAGAAATACATACAAAAAGGTTTTGTTTTTTGTTTGTTATTATTATATGATTATATTATTGAATTTGTTTTAATATAATAAATATTATCCCATTTTAAATAAATAATAAGAAAAAAACATTATATTAAATATCGTATTAAATATACATAAATATATTGATACACTATATTTATATATATTTATTTATGTAATATTGATATTATATATTGAATACATACTTTATCTATACATAAAAAATAATGTTATATACAATATTGTATATATATATTATATAATTTATATAATAATAAATTTATTGATCTAATAATTTATTTATAGAATCATGTATTCATATAACAAATAAAAACTAAAACAAAATTCTAGTGATAACATGAAAATGCATTTTTGTCTACTAAAACAATAAAAGTATTGTTATATTCTGTATATTATATATATATATATTTATTTATGTTATATATATTATAATAAGAAAAACATCAAAAATAATTATCGTAAAAATTTTAATCATTGTTGCTAACAATTGCATAAAAATTTATATGCATTAATGCTTATACATAGTATAAAACATTATTTATAATTTTTGTTATTATTATTTTTTGGTATAATTTAAATGATCAAAATTAGTGTTTCTCTCTCTCTCTCTCTCTCTCTCTCTCTCTCTCTCTCTCTCTCTTAAAAATTTGTCGCATTGTTTATTGTTGTGTTTTGTTTTTAAAAACTTGAAATATAAAAATACATAATAATATAATTTATATAAAAATGTATTTATGTATCACAAAAATATCAAATATTTTATTCTGGTTTACAGTTTATGTAACTTTCTATATATATATATATATATATATATATATATATATATATATATATATATATATATGATATACTGTATATATATACGGTATGACTTACAATACAAGTTAGTTAACAGTTTTCAATGTTTGTCTGTCTGAATGCAATTTATGGTTGAATACATTGTGTCTATGACTGTAATGTTTTAAATCACTAAAAAGAGGACGAAATATACGATATATATATATATAATAAAAAACAATAAATCCTTTAAATTTCCCAAAAGAAAACTTTTGTCTGAATCTCTTTAAACACAAAATACACAAAAATCTTTGACACAAATAAATAATACAAATTTTTCTGAATATATATATATATACTGTATATATATAGTTTGATAAATGTTTTATAAGCCAAACTAGAAGGTCGCATGCGATCACAAATATATATATTATATATATTTAAATATAATTTTTTTTTCAGTGTTTTAAAAGTTAAAAAAATTTTTGACTCAAACTT